CATGTCAGTCAACAATAACGCAGCAAGGGGAAGTAGTTGTAAAAAAATTACGTATGTATTTTCATATAAACTGGAATGAAAATATAGAAATGTAGAAATGCTTTAATCTATAAGCTAAATTGTCGAAAAAGAGAATAGAGAAAATAACAAACAATAAATTGATATTCAATTCTTGTTGGCGAGAGATACAATAATGTCAACTAGACATCATCATAATATGTACATAAAAACAAATGAACCCAAATACCCACTTCGATATTCACAAGCGCAGCAAACAAGAAAATAAGCAACATAACAAAAATCAAAAATGTTCCTATTTAATAATTTTAATTCTGACTGAGACGGCGTAAACATAAGCGACGTAGTTGTAGGTAGCGTTTATTACGTAGTTTATTTATATTTTTTCAACATTTTTATAGCTTTCGTTGTATTGTGTATGGGTGTAGTCAACAGTCACCACCATCGTCAATAGCATTCGGTTATATAAAACTGATATAGAATATGCACATATTTACTTATTCATACATATATATACATACATACATACATTCATACACTTCTTGTATAGATATATTCGAGGCATTTCATTTTTATATTTACGTCGTAATGTTTTCAAAATGTATTTTCTTCAACTATGTTTTCAATTAGAAAAATGCATTTTTAAATAACATATTTTCAAATCTCATTAAATTATTTACTATCGCCTCATTTTGACTTCATTCAACAATTTTTCATAATGTACAAAATGTACATATGTATGTATATAGCAACACATTGTTGTTGGTATGCAGGCAATAATGCAGTAAATTAAGAATTATTATTAAATTACATTTTCTTATATTGTATTCGATAGGCGTTTTTTTTTCTCCCAAAATAAATTAAATAACTTTAAAGTGCTTATAAACATGTTAACATATAAAGAAACATTGGACATAAAAAAAAAAATAAATAATTATATTTTATTGAAGATTTATTTACTGGGTGTGATATGCTTGCAAGATGAATTATTCCGCACTAATAGTATTTTCATTTTGCTTCTTGATAGAAATATGTATAAAGAAACAATTCCTGCCAACCACGTCACTTCTATGTTAAATTTTTTATATAACTTTAAAATTGTTTACAAAATCTTTGTCTAAAAATAAAATAACAGCCTTCATTTAAATAAAATACAAAAATTTCTTCGGAAAATGCAAATGATTTTCCTCTCTATACAGACAGTTGATGTTTTTACTTGATACTTCTTAATCTTTCATATATGTTTGTATGTATGTATGTATATGGGTATGTATAAAAATAGTGTATAAAATATATATATTTTTGATGACATACCTACAAATATATATATATTATATATTCCTAAATTAGCTACAGGGACATGAATTAAGCACATTTTGTTATAATAAGTACAACTAAAAATTATAAACTGCTCTTCATCTTCAATTCACTCACTTTCATAGCAGATATAGACCACTGCTACCCTGCTGCGCACGGGTATACATACCTAAGTATGTTTTATGTTTAAGCACAAAGCCTTTTACATTTAATATTATTACTAATGTTTAGTCTAAATAAGCTCGCATTTACAGAATTTTGTCTATAACCTATATTTCATACTCCTAAATTTAAGTTATCACACCTATTACGACTTTTAAACGACAAACAACACTAACAGTACTGATGCTCTTTATTTTAAAACTTATACCAATATTTAGTCTTATTAGAATTTTGATATTAACCATATTCCATAGTTCTAAACCTATTACGACTTTTTAATGCTAAATACAAATGATATCATCGATGCTTTTTACCTTAAAACTAATTCCAAGATTTAGTTTCAATAGAATATTGATATTATCCATATTTCATAGTCCTAAATTAAAGTTATTGCACCTATCATGACGTCTAAAGAACAAACAAAAAAACAACGATCGTAATAAAAGTTAAAATTTTGAAAAAACAAAACCGATTTAAAAACAAAACTAACATTTTAGTATTAAAACTCTTAATAGAATTTTAATATTAACCATATTCCATAGTAATTTTTGAGGTTATCGCACCTATTTCGACTTCTAAAAGCTAAACAGCAATGAATGTCCTGAAAGGATATATAAAAATAGTTGCAGTTTTATAAGTGATTTAAGGCTGAGTATATGTCATCAACGATCAACTATCGCTCACAACAATTTGCAAATTTCTATATTTGAAACAAGTACGAACCATGCACGTTACTCATATCAATTTAAATATTTTATGGAGTGGCTTTATCAATCTAAGGGAACCACTTGTTATCGATGACTGGATATTGTTAATAATTTGCATCGGAGCTATAACACAAGAAAGGAGAGTTAAGCAAAAAGGCTTTCTCAAGTACTACCGAAGCTGTAATAAAAACCTCTTGAAATTATATCGAAGTAACAATACAAGACAAAATCATATACACCCATTATATTATAGTCTTTTAATATAATAAGAAATGCTGTATTATTTTACATAATTAACAAAAATATTTCTAATTACAGTGGTCGTCCAGTATAACGAACGCTCGATATTACGAATTTTCGATATAACGAACACCCAAAATATTTACATTGATTGTTCTATATAACGAACGAAAAAAAAAATTCTGCTCCATATTACGAACAAAAAATTTTTTTTTTCTTATTCGTTTTTGTTTTGTACAAATTATGCTTTTGAATATAATTTTACTATAAAACCAGCATTATTCAGCTTAGAATATGCATGTAATTGATCGTTTTTTTTTTCTGAGAAAAATGCCTATATATGGCAAAATGCATATATGCAGGCGCCACTGATCTGTTGTTCACAAATTCAGTTTATCATATACGAAATACTATCCAGACATACATATGTACATATTAAGGTGTTTATATTTAATATGTATTTGTTTGAAAATATCATTTAAAAATTAATTTTGACAAAATTAGCTGTACTAAGAGAACTACAAGAAAAAACTGTTCAGAAAAGTCTTGAGTGTAGTAAAAAACAAACAAAAATTAATGATTTTTTTTACTCTACACTATGATTGAATGCGTCCTTTCTTATAAATAATTTTTGTAACAACCGAATAAAAAATACTTTTAAATAAATATATACTCGTACGTGTTTATAAGTTAATTTATGAACTCAAATATATGAAATCTCCTAAAAATAACCATATTGGTAGGTAAATGTATAACATTCGATATTACGAATTTTTCGATATAACGAACAAGGGGTGCAACATAAAATTCGTTATATTGGACGTCCACTGTATATTGTTTTTTGCAGATCTAATGTAATTTAACCTGATTTAATTTGAGTTAAAATAATTATTTGAATATACATAAATAATTTTAAAGTGTAAGTTTCGTAAATATTTCTACATACATTATTTACACTTAAGTTAAAAGTCAAATAAACTTTATATTCTTATAAATAGAACTATATATTATATATTGAACTTGTTTAATTGGGTGTGCACGAATATAAAATTAAAGCTACGAATCTAAGTTATTTAGGTAAAATAGTATAAAATATGTTTTAATTGCGCAGAAATATTTTCAACTATGCAAAAAAAAAAAAAGATTAAGTTACAACACATGACTGTTCCTACACTATGAGAGGCTTTACTTAAGTGAAAATAATTTGTTTAAATGTCATCGCTATTGCTAATATATTCGCACACACGTGAGTGTATAGACAATAGTAAATATGCAGCTAAGAACAAAAGGGATGAAGAAGGAAGTTAAATTACTAAATTAGTCATTATAAAAACTCGTTTTCTAACTTCCCACGTCCCTGTCATCTTATAAGTCAGTCATAAGCCTTATAAAATAGATTACAGTATGGATGTTGATAATCTATGTAGCAACAAAGTCGCTACAATATCATTCAAGGCAATTTTATAGCTTCTGACAGCTTAATAAAATATGCGTATATACATGCATAAATATATATAAATATATGTATGTATATTTATGAACTCTCTAGATCATAACGATATAAATGTTGTGGAAAATATCTGGGTAATTTTTTTTATGTATTGTAGTTGGTTATCAGTAACATACATACATATATGAAATGTTTTTTATTTACACAGCATAAATCAAATAGCGTAGTTAGGTATTCCTAAATTCATTACACACATACATATAATGCATCCAGGCACATGCATAAAGGATTTTTTTTTTATCAATTTTCACTATTGCGTTTCCCTTAAATTATTTGAACATCACTGCAAGTGCCTAGTGCGTTTTTAGTTACATTCTCTTCCATAACATACATACATACGTATATGTACATATATCTATGTACATATATATAAATGGTTGTACATGGATTTATATAGAAGTACATATATATATATGTGAACAATTTTTAATCTAAACCAAACGAACAACAAAAATATCCTGCTGTTAATAGATATTTTTTTTTAAAAAAATTTTATCAAACAAAACTCAGCTGAGTTGAAAAATCGTGCAAACAAGTAAGGGAACAAGTTCTGATAAAAACACAACACAGCTGAGTAGATAAAATTTGTTTGTATGCCGAGCACGAAAAAACAACAGAAAAAATAAAAATAAATACGCACATCAGTACGCATGTACAGATACATATTGTTGGTATAGAATTAAAGGCACGTAGAAAAATTTAAATCAGAAGCCATTAGCATTTTTATTTTGGTCTTTTTCTTATCATTATTTAGAGAAGGATATCAACTTTATTATGTATGCTATTAGTGATAATATATTCAATATTTAACGGAATATATATTTTTTGTGAAGCAGGTAACAAAAATAAATAGTTCCCAAAATTGTCAGATTTGATATTTATGGCTAAACAAATATATAAATATATGTATGTATCAATTAATTGATCCTTTACTTCTCCAAAATAAATAAAATTTAAATATTTTTTTTTCATTCAATGTTTTAAAATATTTTGTCTATTTTTTTTTTGTTTGAAGTATTTAATAAATATTGGAAAGTTTTACTTACTTGATACATTGCAGTACGCGGCAAGTCTAAACATACGGCACAACATAATATGCCACCTAAACGATACTCTAGTTTCTCGTGCCCACCTGATGAAGTGCTAGGGTGATCTAACATAGGTTTCTTTGTAGGTGGTTCACTTGCGTCTATTTCATTATTGCCATTGCCTCCCTGCTCATTTATAACTAAATTAGAGCCTCCACCATTAGGACTATTAAGATTTACGCTACTGCTGCGTAATTGTCCAACACTATTGGGCCCCCCAGCCGTACCAACAGTTTCCTGTTGAGGCATTTGGCCAGCATTTTCGGGCAACATTTCAGCTGCTCCTACTGGATTTAGGTGACTAGTAGAGGACGGCGGCTGTTGCATAGCAGCAGTAGATGATTCTACGTTCGACATTTCTCACAATTTTCTAACCAAATAAACAAATTTTGTATTTCTAATTGATTTTTCTTTTCAAAAATCTAAAATTCTTGTGATTAATTTTTTAAACACATTTGTTTTTTATAGAAGCTCACAGTTTTATGTATTTCAATTCTATTCAAGTTTGTATTGAAATTCCTTTTATATATAATAAAAATATGTTTCAAAATTTTCACAAACTAATTTTGTTCCGCAGCTTAAATATCACACACAATAACCTTCCCGTGTTAACACAATGAGCATTCACAACAGAATGAAAAACTTTTTATAACAGAAAATTCTGCACTTTATTTGGCATTAAAAGAATCACGCACTGTTGTATTTCTAAACCATAAAAAGTATTAACTATTACGTTACGTCTACGTATCTAACACTTTTAATCATATAAGAAAATTTAATTTTATTTAAATATCACATAAAAAATATATTTAAAATTTTAATTTTAGTTTTAATAGTTTTATAATTATAATAATAATAATTGTTACATATTTAAAATTTAAAGTTATCTTAATTTTAAGTTTTAACTTCACAAAAAAAAAATAATTAATATACATATCTTATAAGCTGACTCTGAGCTCCAAATTTGGCAGAACACCAGTTCGATTCCTGGTACTTGCAGTCTCGAAAAATTATTTACGAATAATTACCATAAATACAAGAATTATTTCCAAGACCACTGATGATGGGTATTTAGCAATACTCGAAACAGCTGTATGGTCAGCCAAAAATTCATTTAATTAAAATAATATAAAATGCCTGTACTGTTCGAAAAATATCTTACATATATTTATAAATGTAATATATATATTTTAATTTTAGTTTTAACTGTTACATGCTCCATATTGAGGAAGATATTATTATTAAAATTATATAAAAAAATAAAACAAAAACTAATAAATTGTTTTTATCTTCATATAAGTCCTATTAACATATATAAATATGAAACAAACTATAAAAAATTACATATAGAAATAAGTATCTTTAATCGGTGAGGACACTCTTTAGTTTCAAAATTATATACATATAACGTTATTATACATAAAGAATAATATATTTATTTTTATAATTTTTGCCAAGTTATATCATTAAAATAATAAGTTACATTTATGAGTAAAATACAATTATAAAAAATAAAAAACAATTAAAATAATAATAATAAAATAATAATAATAAAATAATAATAATAATAATAAAAGTATATAAATAAATATATATATATTTCATTCTTAATAAAATTCTAAGTGTTATTAGTTTTATAACTCGATATATACTTTATCGATTTTATTTACATATAAATGTTCCTTATGTATGCAAATGAGCTATTAGTTAAAAAATGCTGGATGATATTATATATTTCTTACGGTCAGGTCACAATAGGTACATTAACATTATAAATGTTTATAAATATTTTATTTATAAGAAAAAATTTTATTTTTTTTTATTTTATTAATTAATTTTTATTTTTGTTTCAAATTTATTTTTTTCTTATTTTGAAAAATATATTTTTTACAGCAGTTTCTTTTACTTGTATTCTCATGAAGTTATTAATTTTTTTTTTATTCTTTGCCAGTAGTTTCTATAACTACTGGCACTTTGGCTGTTGTTATTACTATAAACAAAATATTTCATGTCAAAATGCTCCTGACGCTTTATCTTTTTGTTTAGGGTATCTTGATAATTAAAAATTTTTTACCAATAGGAAATGCGATTGAAATGTAAAAAATTATGAAGCTCTGTTATAGATTTAGAATGTGTGATCTGATTTAACGGTTTGTGTGATTTGGCAATCTGCTAATATATGTTTAACTATTGCAGTCCCTTGCCTGAAAAAACAGCACATTCCCTCGAATTTAGAATATATTTAATTTTGTTAAGAGTTTATTCAATTTACATTGCCCTATCAAGATTTATTTAATGATAATTTTTAATAAATTTTATAGAATTTTTAATACAATTTAGTTTAAAGATCCCTATAAGCAATAACACTTAGTATATTATCTCAATCCAGCCATTTCATTTAATGCTCTCCTGATTCCAGGGCTACAAAGCTCCCATTTTACCTTCCATTTAATTCATTCGTGATTGTTTTGGACAAGGATATTTAGCTTATTAAAACACTTTTGATGTCACTTGAAAAGATATGAGTATCATCATTATTGCCTGGTTATGTAGTTCTTGTTCTAGCCAAACGTCAACCTTAAAGCAGTAACATAAGTGGTTGACAAGATACGCTTGCCCCGATTTGTTCTTTAGTAAGGGAATTGTTACTCTACCATGTTGATATATTCTAGTTTAAATAAGTTTCAAATATATTATCTCAAGTTACATTAAGATTTAATCAAAACTAAGGGCTTAACTTCTTCAACTTTGAAATTTGAACAAAAGACATTGCTATGATTTATAAAAATATATTAAAATATTTATTTTTAAATGTTTACATTAAATGTAAAATTTCTTTTAAAATATTATTTGCTTTTATGCTTTGAGCAAGATTTGTCTTTTTTCTAATTAATAAGATTTAACAACCATTATTTAAAAACCAATCTTAATACCAATTCCCAAACCTTTCTATTGCTTTATTCCATACAGAAATTCTCCGCTTTATACTAATATATTTGTTTATGTCGGGTTCAAATATACGATCAATTTTACGAAATTTTCGTATACTCTCTAAATCATCCCACAATCCATAATTAAGTCCAGCCATATAAGTGGCACCCATAATACTTGATTCAGCATTTTGAGACCTTTCGACTTTTTTTCCGCTTGCATCGGCTAAAAATTGGCATACAAAATTATTGCGTGACACACCTCCATCGACTCTATAAGAAGACAAGAAGAAAATAGTTTTTTAAAAATATATTTCTTTAAATATTTTAATATATTACCTTAAGAGTTTTATTTTGTATTTTGTTTCTTTTTCAGTGGTTTCACATAATTGCACTAAACGAAATACAATACTTTCTAAAACTGCACGAACTAAATGAGCACGTTTTGTAGATGGAGTTATTCCTATAAAACCAGATGTAGCTTTATGATCATTAATGGGTGGCTATAAATTATATTGAAAATATATTGGATATTTTTCTACATAAAAAATTTATTGTATACTCACACCTAAACCGCTAAAGGCGGGTATAAAAAATACATCGCATGTATCTTCTACAGATTCAGCGATAGCAGCTGTCTCGAATGGATCAGTAAAAAGACCACAAGCTTGCGCCCAACTAATAACAGTTCCCATATCATGAGCAGCACCTTCTACACAAAATATTGTGTTTGGCAGTAACGTATGAGACATTTTTCTTCTAAATTGCCACGCCACAAGAGGATATAATCCCATAATTGACGCGTGACAACTTTTACCAGTTATAGTGTTAAGGAAAGCTCCTGCATGATAAGAAAAATGTATATTATATTATGATAATAATAAAATAAATCGAATAAATACCTGTGCCTATTGTTATTTTAACATCTCCTTCTTCAAAACACTGAGAGCCCCATATTGAAGCCGTTTGATCACTTATTGAGCTAGAAATAGGTATTTCGGTATTTTGCCAATCTGCTCCTAAGGCTGCGGGATGAACGTTGCCAAAATGCTTATAAGCATTATCAACAATTTTGGGCAGCAAAGTAACCTAAAGTAATATTAATCAAGGAATTATATATAGTATGACCAAACACTATTCTTTCTTATATTCTTATATTTAAATATGATTATTATTATTAAAAGATATAACAATTAACCGCAATATATCGTGTTGTCTCATTGTGTAACAGAGATTAAGTTAATTTGAGATTTCTAGATCTCTTTCGATTCAATGAAAACTAGTTAAGAGTGATATATTTGTTTGTGGACAATACACAAGTTAAAAAAATGGACAGATGTTTCATGTTTCCTTACGAGTAGTAGGTACACATCACTTGCTTTAGCGTTTTTTTAAAGTCTTGTGGAGTTTTGTTGGGAAATTCTGTCCGATATATTTCAGTTATCACGATTTATTCCCTTTTTATTCTATATTATTTTTTTCAATCCTTCAGTTATTATATACATATTTTCATTTCTTTTCTCTTAATAGAGAATATATGTATGTACAAACAATATATAACGCCAATATGTATCTAACATGTGACATACATTATACATTTTACTCACATCTATTCCGAATACAAGTTTAATCATTGAAGACCAACTTAGTGTAAATGGATCAAATAAACCAGTTGCAGTACATGAAGTAATGTCAGTTATATGCTCAACATTGCAATCTAAACCATTTCCCGATCTAAAATAAATAGGTATACTAGATAAAATTAATTATATTTTAACATTCTTAACTGACCGCAGTTTATATAAAATCCAAGAATCTAAGAGCTCAACTCGTGCAGTCTTCTGTTTTAAAGCTTGTTGCAATCGAATATTATTTTCGATTTCATACAATAAACGTAAAGTGACCTTTATTAAAATTTTTTTTTATTTATTTAAATACTAATGTGATCAATATATACAAAAATAACTAACCTGACCATTCATCATTTTTAGCACACTACCAGCTAAAAATCTTTTACTACGTGTTATAAGATATAGGCCATATGAAATTTTATTCATGGTTTGCAGCTTAAGTCCTGAATTCCATTGATCTACTAACGTATCCGAACGTAAATCCTTCCATGTTATAAAATTGTGATAATATTCTTTAGTACGATGATTCCATGTCAAAAATGTACATCGTTGGGTTGATAAGGTTAAGCAAGTAATCTGTGAAGGTTTCAACTGAGCATCTAAAGAGATTAATTACTTTATAATAGTATAATAAAAATATAAAAATGTTTTTATAATTTAAATTTTATTTAAGATATTAAAAAAATTTTTAATTAAATTTATATTTAATTAGTTTTGTTGTACTTTGTATTTTTAACAAAACAGACATATTCCATTTCAAGACTTTGTAAATAAAATCAAGTTTATATGAACACTTCATTAAGGTTAAAAAAGTTAACATAAACAATATTTTATACAGGGTGTTTCCACCATAACTGCCATAAATACTGGATGAAATTATTTCTTGGTCCAAGACATTAAAAACAAGATATGGGGACTAAGTTCCATATCCAATATAAACCGAGATACAGGGTGTTTTATAGAACTTTATGTGAAAATTCATGCAGTCATACATATCACTATATCTCAAAAACGGGTCGTCCATAAAACTTAGGTTATATACCAAATAGCAAATATAAGTATTATAAAGTAAGAAATATTTGTAGAAAACAGCAATAGGTGCTTCAAAGGCCGATAGCTAAAAATCTATGCATGATTAATTAAAACTCTTTTGCAAATAATTAAACCTAGATAAGCATCTTAAAAGGCTCCTCCACATATTCACATATATTGATAGTCATATTTATACAATTTTTTTTATTAATTTTACATAAATATAAAAATGTACAGAAATAAAAAATATAAGATACAAAAATAAAACAAAAAAGAAACATGTGCAAGAAACTAATTTATATTAGTAATAAATAATCTAATTAAACATGAAAAACCGACTAAAACGAATTGAATAAGAACTTTGAGATAAATAATGTTTTCTAAAAAAAATTATAAAACATTTTTTTAAAAAAAAGTTATAGTTTTCAAATGTAAATTTGAAATTAAACAAATTGGTGGTTGAGCATTACAATGGTCAATTTTAATTAAACATTTTTAATATATCAAAATACTGATGCATTATGAAGATCGTGTTCAAACATTAGGACAAAATATTTTTTATATTCGAAAATGCTAGTGCCTTCCAAACCTACTTTGACTTTTTGCGTTATGTTTTGTTCAACAGTTTAGAGCTTACAGCTTAGAGCTGACATTATATAGGTTAGAAGAAAGCAAAAAAATTTATTTCCCTGATACAGTGACATAAACCTTTTTTTCCTTATCGCACGACATGACCAAGTCAGCGAAACTTCGAAATTTTTTGCGCTTAACTATGTGAACGTCGCGGTATAACTTATATGGGTCATCGTTCCATCTAATTCTATACTCAATACTAATGCATAAGGGACCATATATATTCCAAAGAATTTTTCTTCCGAATGCCATAAACGACATCGATTTGTAGAGTGTGTTTTTTGTTTAATGAGAGGGGGCTTTATTTCTCCATTACCTACTTAGCGCCAAATAACATCTGTCGACAGGAGTGATACTTCTAGGCTGACGTTCATTTTCAGTGCTTACGCTGATTCCCAGATAAACAAAATCTTTCACAACTTCAAACTTGTAATTTTCAATAGTGACGTAGATCCCAAGACGCTCAGGGGATTTGTTTCTTGACAGACTGAATTTTTTTTCGCATTTGCCACTAGATCTCTGTGCTTCTCTTGTTATTCTAATTTGCAAAAACCACACGTTTTCAAGCCAACGATATCAATTTCGTCGGCACACGCAAGCTGCATCACACTTTTATCACATATCATGCCATCCGGTTTAAAAACTGCTGCTCGGATAATAGTTTCCAAACTTAAATTGAAGAAATTATTTGACATTATTTGAGTGACAATGATGTCTGACACATCGTCCACGAGAGAATTTTTTACAATTCTATCGGAGCTGGTGGTATTTGCTTAACTCAGTAAAACTTATAGCCGTATAAGGTAAAACTTATAGCCGTATAAGGTTTACTGAGATACCAAATTCAGACATAGCGGTATAAAGTTCTTCTAGTCGTAGTGTCAAAAGTGGCTTTGAAATCGACAAATAAATGGTGTGTATCAATTTGTATTTTTTTTTTTGTTTGTTTTGGGTCCTTTCCAGGACTTGACGCACAGTGATTATCTAGTCAATGGTAGATTTGCCAGGTCTGAGGCCACGCTAATAAGATTCAATCAGTTTTTTGACGATTAGTTTCAACGTTTCACATAGTACTTTTGATATCACCTTACATGTGATATTTAAAAGACTGATACTGCGTTAATTGGCGCAGTTTTTACACCTTTGCATCCAGGAAATAAAATTAATATGACTAAATACTTTTTTTTGGTAAACTTCTATTAAAAAAAAAAGTGTATCTTTGTTAATATTAATATATATAACACATTTCGAAATTATAGGTGCGGTAGAAAGAGCTTCCTGTCGACTATGCGACTGCCCAGCGGCGGCAAGACTCGACTACCTTCAAAGCGGGATCTTAGATTCAAATTAAATAGGTAAAATTAAGCCCCCAGCAAAATACGAAATTCATAGTATATAATTAGTTTAGACTAGAATTGTTTTAGTTGGGTCTTTACGCACACAATAGGTACATTCATAGCCTATTATTTAATAATATTAATAACATAACACATTTATCCGCTATTAAAACTAAGTAACCGGGAAGTAAGGTATGTGTTAATTTCATATCCATAGAAATATAATAATATTTTATTGTTAATTTTTTCTTGCCGAGAGTGACGCGTCCTTATGACGAAAAGAAACTATTTAAATGTTAGATGAATTTGAATAGCAAAGAAAAGACAAGGACAAAAATTTATTTAATTTATTGAAATTTGGCTGACCATACAACAAATTTTTGTCCTTGTCTTTTCTTTGCTATTCGAATCCGTCTAAATAATAATATTTGTTGACATTAATTAATATAAGCAAATACAAAATAAAATATTCTTATCTATTTATAAACACAAACATATCAGAACTGTTTTGAAAATTTATATTAATCTGATTACGATGTTATGATTAAATATATTTCATAAATATATAGATTAAGCACTCACATGCAAAGTAACCGATATTAGCTTAAGCTGTTTGGGATCTTAAACTATTTTTACTGAAAAATGTGTACGTATAATACTTAAAAATTTAAAAGCACTTAAGCACTAACAGCTCGTTAAGTTATATTTAGTAATAGCAATCACTTATGCAACAAATTAGTTAATAGTTTTTTATTGTAAATTCCTTTAACCTATGAATTATCTTACCTTTTACAGCGCCATTTATAACTCTAACGATTTGCAGCCAAAGCGTTTCCGGTTCAATTTCAAAATAACCGGGCTGAGGATTTATTAACGTTACCTTGAAATAAATGCATATTTGTATATAAATATATGTAGGTATATATTTTGAGTCTTTAGTTTATTAAATAACATTTAATTAACTTACTAATTCCGAAGCTGATCCCTGTATATCAAGACTTCCATTACATGATTTTATTATGAAGCACCGCACAGTTGTGGTGCCCACATCCAATGCGGCTATGTACGCTGCCATGATGCACACTCTCGCCAATGTATCGCTTCACTGACGCTTAATAACGTGCAAGTATCGCTTTTTCTCATAATATTGTAGCGTTTGATTCAACTCAACTCAATTCAATTCATTTCACTTTAATATCAATTTAATATCAATTTTTGTTTTCTTCACACATATCGTTGTTTTTTGCTGATATGACGACGATAATATAAATTGTTTAAAATTAATAAACAGAGTGAATAGTTCATAAAAAACAAGAAACACATGAACTGTTTGTGCCCTGAGCTGTAGCTGTAGAAGCTGTTTTCGTCGTTGTGTCGCACAAAACGTCAGCAAAATCAAGTTACCCAAAACTTGATAGCAAAACAAAGCCGAAAATACACAACCACCTCGTCGGACACGCGTCTTAGCACTCAAGCAAATAAAAATTGAACCCCTAATAAATAGAGAATGAGAGAAATAAAAATAGGCCAGAAGAGAACAAAAAACTGTTCTCAGTTTAAGCTTTTTTTTTATTTGTTAACTGATAAGAAGCGACAGTGATTCTATTTAAAAAGCTGAATGAATAACTAAAAAACTGGGTGCTTATATATTTAAGTTGTTTGTTTTTTAAACTGTTGATGCATGTTCACATACAAACATACGAGTTTTTTGTTATATATGGTATAGTTTTTCAAAAAAATGTCAAAAGCAAATAACTTATTGGATAATATTTAGTGTAACCTCTTTAGAATGCAGGAAATCAGCCTATTGTGCAAATGTGGTTTATATATCTCCCTACATCATGGCCAGAGTAGAACTCCTAATTATTTATACTACTTATAAGAATCTACAATAAGTACATAGTAAATACAAGGAAAAACTTTAAAAAATAAGTTAAATAAATACAAAACTGAAACTGAAGCAAGCTAGATAGCAGTGTTTGAAAGGAAAATACTTAGAAAAATGTTTGAACCTGTGAAAGTAAACGGAATGTATCGCATTAGATACAACCACGAGCTAGAACGTCCAGCTGAAAGTGATACAATCAACAAATTTATGAAAAACCAGCGATCCAACCAGGGTTAGACATGTGATAAGAATGCCGGATATGAGAGTACCGCTTAAAATTTATAGGAACGAGGTAGGAGAAAGCGATGGAAAGACAGTGTGCAGCAGGACGTAGAAGAAATGAACATAAGAAATTGGAAAACAAAAGCAAAAAACAGAGAAGAATGGAAGACTATTGTTAAATAGGCTTAGGTCCTACACGGTCTGTTTAGTCACGAATGATGATGATGTTTACCTCTGATCAGAAATTCAGTTTAAATAGACTAGACTCCGTTAATAGTAAATTTTAGGAAATAAGGTTATAAACAGTAGTTAAATAAATACAAAATTTTCAACTCTTATCAATAACCTCTTTCACTTAAACATTCAAATATAGCCTTCTTTACCAAATATATTAGATACATAGGTGACAGAAAAGTCGAAACGAATCCGCCAACTTAGACAAATAATAGTGGGAAAAGAATGAGCATATTATAACCAGCCAAATGAATATTTATAAAAGTATGTATCTGACTAATACTTATGTTGAAAGTATCGTCGAGTGTGTTAAAGAATGGAACAACCAAAAAAGCTTAAGCCTAATTCTAGACAAGCCTGAACATAGATACAACAGATGATAACGATAATCGTAACTGTTTATGGGTTAGACTAAGAACTTTTATGCACTGCGACTAGCTTGATCTATTGTGCAACCCTTTGTATTTAAAAATTTAGTATCTCGAGGAAACATACCAGCTCTTACGGAAGGAGCTTTTAAAGGTCTTCATCCTCTAGTTGATATACACCTAAACTTTTGCCTAGTCTTCTGCGGCCTAGTGCATCACAGTTGGTGATCAGATAGGTACAACAGATGCTCTGGTGTCTTTTCCTCGAATGCCGGAAAACATGTTTTACAAGTAATACGACAGGGTAGGCTAAGCCTGGCTTCATGCCGTCATATTGTCTAGTGTTCCGTTAGAACAAATATTAACCTAGAGACTTCCGGTTTACTTCTAAGTACACAAGTACATGGAAATACTACATTTGTTAAAGTTACAGTAAGATTTACAGAAGGTCTATCAATTATTTATAGTAAAGGTGCTGATTGATACCAATTCCAATAAACCAACCATCATCATCTAATAAAAGCGTAAATATTTAAAATTAATATTTATATTAGAGAATAGTAATTACTTCTCTTGAACTCATTAACTATAATAACAGTATTCACTACACAATACTTGGCTGACTGTATGAGCAATTTAAACCTAATCTCGAGTAACGAGAGCTTGCTCACTAATATAGTATCAGTGCAAACTAACAGCAGCAAAACACTCGTTTACCGATCTAGTTATTCTAGGTTGTGAATACCACTACTGTATTTAATTTTCGCCATTAGGTTGATAGCTAGTAAATAGCTAGTAAAGTCATTTATATGTCAGTATCCATCATTGACCAAGAGAAGATTTAAAATGTTTGAGGTACCTTATCTTAACGACCTGATAGACCTGTTATCTTATAAAATTAGGGAATTGGCCATGTTTGCAGATTTGTTATGTTAGTTCACTCTCATTTGAATAAGAAAGTCGCATCTTTTAGCGTTGTTTGTACGCTGACCTCTACTTCACATATGAACAACGCTAGTCCATGATATCACAACCGGATATCACAGCCATTATTTAAGCTCAAGTGGGCTTTGAGCACAAGGCCGCCGCTCCAATCTAACTTAACCTAGTCAATTATTTCAATTTTTTTTTATTTTATTAATATATTACCAACACAATTGAGCTTTTTCAATCACGAATAAACACAATAAACATTTGTTATTATTCCCACAATCAATATTAGAAAAAATAAAAATAATTTTTATTAATAAAAATTTAAATTGTAAAATTTATGGAATTCCCCATTAAAGGTTCTACATTCGTAAGAATCATTATTTATGAGCATAAAAGCCAACTAATAAGTTATTTAACAAAATTAGTAATAGTTGAGTGAGGTGCTAGGGTGTATTAATTATCCATATATATCCGCTAATCAGAGAAAAATTCTTTAATTAATTTTTGAATAACAGCACCTATCAATTTAAAATGATTAAACTTTCGTTTCATATGTGAAATCAATATTATCATTATATTAAATTAAAATCTTGAAACTTACTTATTTAAAAGTTTTTGTTTTGAATTGAAAATGAAAAGTTGTTAATTTGAGTACATATGGTACTATATTTTCGCTTTCTAGAATTTTACAATTATCTATAGATAGCAACTCATAATACAGTTTCCAGAAATGTACTTAAGCAATTCATTAACTTACAATAGAACGGCTAAACACTCCATTTATGCTGTATGGTTTTCTAAAAATAGAAATGTGGAAGTTTACGAAGTTCTTTTTCTAGAAACATATTCGAATGCAAGCAATAATAGTATAGTATATACAAATATAGCAATAGTAGTACTAACTATTCGTCAGTATATGTATAGTATAGTATCGGAAAATAAAAAAAGATTTTATATGTTTTGAGTTCCTAAACAAAGAAACTTGGAAAGTTTTGAAGACGCAAACGATCTTATTATAATTGGTGCTCAACAATGCCTATATATTTCTATATTAATAAAACAGTTATACAAAGAGGTCAGAAGTTTTGTAATTCAAAGAGTTAAAGACTGACCTGTAGCTTATATGTTATAAGAAGAAACTGACTACGTGGTGATAGGACATTCTTTTCTAAAAATAATATTGAACAAAAACAGTGTTATAAGCAACATGCAAGCTACAAAATAAACTTTGACACATGTGATATGTACATACATGGCCCTACAAAGAAATATATAAAGCATTTTGGTGTGATACAGTGTTTAGGCTAAAGCGAGAAGCGGAAATTTCCAACTAAACACAGACATTGCCTGAACTTATTTCTAAAATTAGAAGAAGCAGTAGAATTTAGATGAGTGAAACACTCATGCGATATATACGATCGCAGTTCTGTAAAGAAAATAAGATTTTGCAATTTAACCACGTCTCTAACTGGCTTTGTAAAGAACCCGAAGGTTTACACATAACAGTCAAAGTTAGCGCATTTAATACAATATATTCCTTAATGCATATAAAAAAAATTTTCTAAATTATTTTAGAATTTATTTATTTTTTTATTTTCTCACTTCAATAAAATCTAAAATATATCACAAAATAATTATAAATATTTTATGATGCTATGACTTTTCAAAGTGTAATGACATGGACCACCTCTAAAAATTACTAAAATTATTGCTTAAACTATGTAGCGTACTAATTGCGTTTAAGTTATAAATAAACGATTTTGAAGTTATATATAAATAAACGATATATATACATAATAGTTTGTGTATTATAAATTTTCAAAATAGAAAAACAACTTCTCAGTTTCAGTGACTTATGCGTTCAGTAAACATGTTATTTGAATTATATCTATTGAAATTAGCTCAATAAAAAATAAAGCGTAAAGCATTATCTATATAAATATATTAGCAAGCAACGAATATGTATTTATATATTTAGCATTTTTAAATGTAATATATTAATAATAAAATATAGTTGGAAAAGAGAACTCAATTCTCAGATATAACAATAATTGCGCTATTCTACTTGATAGAAATATAACAATATTGATTTTGCTCCTTGATATCAGCAGACTAGAGTCTTTAAGCATAACCACATTATAAATTGAAGGCATACAAGTTAGAAAATTGGCGTATATCCTTTGTTTAATAAGTTTTTAAACCATTAATTAGTGTAATGTATTTGTTCTGCCTCCCTAAAAATATAGTTTTCATTTTGAACTACACATATACGCCAGGGCTTAACCTATAATCAAAATCTTTTTCAGATCCCTATTCTAAAGTATTATTTAGTTCAGGCATGTACCACATAATTGCAATGAGGACTCAACACTTGAATCATACTCGAATATTGGCGGCACTTTACTCATATACTCTTTTTTTTTTTTACTCAACTCCACTTGTGTCATGTATAAAACTAAAAGTACTTCTACTTACTTATAACATAGAGTCTATTATTATTTAATGGTGTTTAATTAAAAATACTAACTGAGAGCAAAAATAAATACTCAAATGCATTGACGACTACTTTCAGCAGTACTTTCACAACTCATTAACGCAAATATGTTCTTATAAATCATCTCATATGCATCTATGCTTGTTTTTTTATAAATATACTCTAAGTATTAAAATTATGACTCTGTAATTCTCTGTGATGTACATGCTTATTCCTTTCAAGTTAGTGGTTTTTGGATGTGGGCCATGAATACACGTTTCAAAAATTCGAACCTTTTTGCGATGAACATATTCTCTTAAAAAGAAAATGTATTTCG